AAATGAAAACATGCCACAAGTCAAATCAGTCTCAATTTCTTCATGTAGTAATTAGTTCGTTCTACTGTGTTATGACATTCAGCTTTTGTTGTAATCAGAAAATTAAGTTATCGATTTATTACCTACAATCACCCGACCACAGGTCATACTTCCATAGAAAAATCCAAATGCTCGGAGCTACTTATTTCTAATCAGTAGTATAGTTTAACCCACTAAACGAAATGGTGGGGTGCAAATCAGGTCGAAAATATTTTGATGTAAAACACTTTTTTGGAGACCACACACTCAGTCTTCTAATGAGCTGAATCTGTAAGTTTATTCTATGTACAAACTAGTGAGTTTAACAGTTGTGTAAAGAATAGGAAACTAACAAGGCACATGAATAGAAGTGTAAACATAATTTTCGAATAGAAGACTGACACAGTCGTTGTTTTGTGATGTTTAAAAAATATATAGGTTGCAGTTTGAAAATGTTTAGTTTTGAGTAGAATCGTAGCCTAGAAGAGTGCAAAACTGGTTCGAAATGTCTTTATAATATACAACATATATAGTCTTCCACTGAAATCCCGAACCAACCTGAGTTAGGCAACCCTTAAAAACCTGGAAGTACTCGACGTCCATTTCATCTTTCTATGGGATTGAGAAGCAGTGAGCATTTACGAGCAAACAACCCTTGGTCCAACCTATTACCTTTAATCTCGTGCACAAATAATTAACATCTAAACCACTAAGTCTGAACACAATGGTGTGCATATTGATCCCCAGTTGCAGGGTTGTGAATGCGTACTGTTTCACAGCTCCATACTACGACGAGACGATCATCCAGTACTTGCGGGTTTCTAATAGTCGTCTAACTTAGATCGGTTCCTGATTTCAATGAAATTCACAAATCTCCACTACCTCATACTGACATAAATAGTGTTTGATTACGACAATTTTTTTCGTATAACCTTCACAGTCTTTGCAATACAAAGCTTAAGAAAACCATTAACATTATCAGTGAACATTCATTTATCTGCACCGTATAAATGAAAACATGCCACAAGTCAAATCAGTCTCAATTTCTTCATGTAGTAATTAGTTCGTTCTACTGTGTTATGACATTCAGCTTTTGTTGTAATCAGAAAATTAAGTTATCGATTTATTACCTACAATCACCCGACCACAGGTCATACTTCCATAGAAAAATCCAAATGCTCGGAGCTACTTATTTCTAATCAGTAGTATAGTTTAATCCACTAAACGAAATGGTGGGGTGCAAATCAGGTCGAAAATATTTTGATGTAAAACACTTTTTTGGAGACCACACACTCAGTCTTCTAATGAGCTGAATCTGTAAGTTTATTCTATGTACAAACTAGTGAGTTTAACAGTTGTGTAAAGAATAGGAAACTAACAAGGCACATGAATAGAAGTGTAAACATAATTTTCGAATAGAAGACTGACACAGTCGTTGTTTTGTGATGTTTAAAAAATATATAGGTTGCAGTTTGAAAATGTTTAGTTTTGAGTAGAATCGTAGCCTAGAAGAGTGCAAAACTGGTTCGAAATGTCTTTATAATATACAACATATATAGTCTTCCACTGAAATCCCGAACCAACCTGAGTTAGGCAACCCTTAAAAACCTGGAAGTACTCGACGTCCATTTCATCTTTCTATGGGATTGAGAAGCAGTGAGCATTTACGAGCAAACAACCCTTGGTCCAACCTATTACCTTTAATCTCGTGCACAAATAATTAACATCTAAACCACTAAGTCTGAACACAATGGTGTGCATATTGATCCCCAGTTGCAGGGTTGTGAATGCGTACTGTTTCACAGCTCCATACTACGACGAGACGATCATCCAGTACTTGCGGGTTTCTAATAGTCGTCTAACTTAGATCGGTTCCTGATTTCAATGAAATTCACAAATCTCCACTACCTCATACTGACATAAATAGTGTTTGATTACGACAATTTTTTTCGTATAACCTTCACAGTCTTTGCAATACAAAGCTTAAGAAAACCATTAACATTATCAGTGAACATTCATTTATCTGCACCGTATAAATGAAAACATGCCACAAGTCAAATCAGTCTCAATTTCTTCATGTAGTAATTAGTTCGTTCTACTGTGTTATGACATTCAGCTTTTGTTGTAATCAGAAAATTAAGTTATCGATTTATTACCTACAATCACCCGACCACAGGTCATACTTCCATAGAAAAATCCAAATGCTCGGAGCTACTTATTTCTAATCAGTAGTATAGTTTAACCCACTAAACGAAATGGTGGGGTGCAAATCAGGTCGAAAATATTTTGATGTAAAACACTTTTTTGGAGACCACACACTCAGTCTTCTAATGAGCTGAATCTGTAAGTTTATTCTATGTACAAACTAGTGAGTTTAACAGTTGTGTAAAGAATAGGAAACTAACAAGGCACATGAATAGAAGTGTAAACATAATTTTCGAATAGAAGACTGACACAGTCGTTGTTTTGTGATGTTTAAAAAATATATAGGTTGCAGTTTGAAAATGTTTAGTTTTGAGTAGAATCGTAGCCTAGAAGAGTGCAAAACTGGTTCGAAATGTCTTTATAATATACAACATATATAGTCTTCCACTGAAATCCCGAACCAACCTGAGTTAGGCAACCCTTAAAAACCTGGAAGTACTCGACGTCCATTTCATCTTTCTATGGGATTGAGAAGCAGTGAGCATTTACGAGCAAACAACCCTTGGTCCAACCTATTACCTTTAATCTCGTGCACAAATAATTAACATCTAAACCACTAAGTCTGAACACAATGGTGTGCATATTGATCCCCAGTTGCAGGGTTGTGAATGCGTACTGTTTCACAGCTCCATACTACGACGAGACGATCATCCAGTACTTGCGGGTTTCTAATAGTCGTCTAACTTAGATCGGTTCCTGATTTCAATGAAATTCACAAATCTCCACTACCTCATACTGACATAAATAGTGTTTGATTACGACAATTTTTTTCGTATAACCTTCACAGTCTTTGCAATACAAAGCTTAAGAAAACCATTAACATTATCAGTGAACATTCATTTATCTGCACCGTATAAATGAAAACATGCCACAAGTCAAATCAGTCTCAATTTCTTCATGTAGTAATTAGTTCGTTCTACTGTGTTATGACATTCAGCTTTTGTTGTAATCAGAAAATTAAGTTATCGATTTATTACCTACAATCACCCGACCACAGGTCATACTTCCATAGAAAAATCCAAATGCTCGGAGCTACTTATTTCTAATCAGTAGTATAGTTTAACCCACTAAACGAAATGGTGGGGTGCAAATCAGGTCGAAAATATTTTGATGTAAAACACTTTTTTGGAGACCACACACTCAGTCTTCTAATGAGCTGAATCTGTAAGTTTATTCTATGTACAAACTAGTGAGTTTAACAGTTGTGTAAAGAATAGGAAACTAACAAGGCACATGAATAGAAGTGTAAACATAATTTTCGAATAGAAGACTGACACAGTCGTTGTTTTGTGATGTTTAAAAAATATATAGGTTGCAGTTTGAAAATGTTTAGTTTTGAGTAGAATCGTAGCCTAGAAGAGTGCAAAACTGGTTCGAAATGTCTTTATAATATACAACATATATAGTCTTCCACTGAAATCCCGAACCAACCTGAGTTAGGCAACCCTTAAAAACCTGGAAGTACTCGACGTCCATTTCATCTTTCTATGGGATTGAGAAGCAGTGAGCATTTACGAGCAAACAACCCTTGGTCCAACCTATTACCTTTAATCTCGTGCACAAATAATTAACATCTAAACCACTAAGTCTGAACACAATGGTGTGCATATTGATCCCCAGTTGCAGGGTTGTGAATGCGTACTGTTTCACAGCTCCATACTACGACGAGACGATCATCCAGTACTTGCGGGTTTCTAATAGTCGTCTAACTTAGATCGGTTCCTGATTTCAATGAAATTCACAAATCTCCACTACCTCATACTGACATAAATAGTGTTTGATTACGACGATTTTTTTCGTATAACCTTCACAGTCTTTGCAATACAAAGCTTAAGAAAACCATTAACATTATCAGTGAACATTCATTTGTCTGCACCGTATAAATGAAAACATGCCACAAGTCAAATCAGTCTCAATTTCTTCATGTAGTAATTAGTTCGTTCTACTGTGTTATGACATTCAGCTTTTGTTGTAATCAGAAAATTAAGTTATCGATTTATTACCTACAATCACCCGACCACAGGTCATACTTCCATAGAAAAATCCAAATGCTCGGAGCTACTTATTTCTAATCAGTAGTATAGTTTAATCCACTAAACGAAATGGTGGGGTGCAAATCAGGTCGAAAATATTTTGATGTAAAACACTTTTTTGGAGACCACACAGCTGCATAATACGACGAGACGATCATCCAGTACTTGCGAGTTTCTAATAGTCGTCTAACTTAGATCGGTTCCTGATTTCAATGAAATTCACAAATCTCCACTACCTCATACTGACATAAATAGTGTTTGATTACGACAATTTTTTTCGTATAACCTTCACAGTCTTTGCAATACAAAGCTTAAGAAAACCATTAACATTATCAGTGAACATTCATTTATCTGCACCGTATAAATGAAAGCGTGACACAAGTGAATGAAGTACGATGATAAAAGAGTCATATGGATAGGCATCAATAATTTTGCCTTCAGTCTTGTGTGCAAACACTTAACTTCTAGACCACTGAGTCGGCATCCAACGATGTTAATGTCTAACGTTAAGCAATAACCTTGGTTTTTACCATACAGAGATTATGAAAGCCTTCAAGCATATATTCCTGTACTTGGCTTTGAGCCACATCACAAATGACGGTTAGTGATACCACCCTAGCGAAGTAGACAGAGAGGGATTCGAACCTGCTGATTGGTGTTTAATAATCGGACATATAACCATCAGCCCATCGCTTATATATCTATAAAGTTACTATGTTGCATAAGATGTAACAGTAAGACAAGGCATGTTTGAAAAGTGTGGTTATTAACATCATGTAATTTTTACATTAATATTATAATTACGAGCTTCCACTTAGCTTTGAAAATAAAAAACAAAGCTCATCAGAAGTTGAGTAAATAAGAGAAAAATGAATCCGGTATTATTACTCACTATCTAGACACAACTGTGAATAACTATAACATAAATGACCAAATGAATCGAAGACGTATAACACTTTCACACTACTTGCTTTCTACAATATCACGAATTAAATGAATGGTGGCTATTTTATTTCATAAGTACTGTAGTTTGAAGGAAAAGACTCAATAATTAAAGCTCTTATACACGTTTAATTTTAAGAAAAAAGAGAACTATGACATGTCATGAAGCTAAGGAAAATAGTGATGAAGTAAATACGGAGGAACATCACGAGTAAAAATGGAAACCGTCATATATATATATATATATATATATATATATATATATATATATATCATGTAGGGGTTGTAAACTCTGTTTGCGAGGGTTAAGAATCTCACCAATAACAAAGTATTTTGTAGTAACAAAATGGGAATTACGTAAGTTTTATAAATTGGAGAAGGGACTACTTGGGATTATGTGTCTATGTATGCATGTACGTATATATGCTGTTTTGGTCTAAACATTCTGAATGATAAAAATATACAAAAAAAAATTGATTTCAGTATGAAATAGAACGCATCAATGCGAACTCGGTAAGAATGAATTACATAAATATATATTCATATTTCACATTAATAGTTAACATGTAGAATTGTTAGAAATGCAGCCACAACTTTCAATTATCTATAATGTATGTAGGACTATATTTTTAATAGATTATTTATAGTTTCAGTTATGGAATATACGTAATCGTTCACTAGATCATATTTACACGATGGAAAGTACCAGAGGAGAGAAAAAACATCTGAAAAGTAACCGCTGTTGCTGCCAGATTATGTAGATATAAAGTACAAGGAATGACACATAAGCTACCGTGTATGTGGCAAACAATTTTGCAGATTAAGTTAACAAGCATGAGTTAAATATTTTCACTTCTTTTTAACATCAATTGTGACGGTAAGAAAAGGCGAGCTGTTATAAAATAAATAAAGCATGAAAAAAATTGTGTAAAATACTAGAATGATTATGTAAATAAAACAACATAGGAAAATATATTATAAAAATATCACTGAGATGATAATTCTGATGGGCGAAAAGATACTGGTGAAACAAAACAGTTCATTGAATTGTCAATTTTGGGGAAAGATAGCGTCGGATTTTTGATCTACAGAGTGCACTTCGAAATCAATATAGCATTTACGCTTCATTGACAATGGAGTTAAGTAGTTAAGCGAAATTATGGTAAAATTGCCAAACGATTAAATGGTATAATTCTTAAGCACACAAAAAGTTAGTCATCTTTATATCAAATTGAATAAATTACATCTAATATAGTAAGTAATTTATACAACTTCAAAATGAATAATGAGACGTCATAAAAGATGTATTCCAGATTTTATATAGTGTTCTTATGATATGCTACTACATACCTTTAACAGTAAACTAAAATTTGCAATAATTTCAAACGTAATGAATGGTTATCTATGACAGATAGGTGATAGAAGACAGATGAATTAAGAAATGTTTAGAACATCACTATAGTTAATAATACTTTTTTACACTTATTTCCTTATGAAACTTTGGAAATAATAATACTGTGTTATAACGTAATAAAAAGAGGATAACGTGGCCATACAGAGTCACTATCTATAATTCAACCAGTGAGATTCCCCAACAAATGCTACCAGATCTGGATACTAAATAGTGATTAGCTTAACAAAATCAACCTAAAGCCTAATACCCTCACCGCTGATACTTTATGAAACCTGAAAATAAATGAAGGTTTTAAACATCCCATAAAATCAAATAAAGCTAGTGAAAAACAAGTTCACATACTGCTACTACGCAATTCACATTGTGCCAATAACTGATAACATCGAAATATGCACAAAGTAGACTGTGGTTATGAATTCTACTTAAAATATCAATGCTTCAACTTCAAAGAAACTTATAGAGGCAGTTTTTTACTTTAGGATGTAGAAAGTTAAACTTTTAAGTTACAAGGAAAATTACCACTAAAAAGATCAACGGCAAACAAATAATTGGGTAAAACTAGTTACAACAGGCTTACCTACGGTCTCTGTTTATACACTGTCTGCAACACCTAGTTTATTCAATGAATCCTGTTCAAAGCGTCTTTGAGCCTCTTGTTGTCGTTGATAATGTTGTTGAAGCTGTTGTAATCGAGAAGTCGGTCCTGGTGTCAAACGTAAAGTTGGTGGGAGAATAGGTGCAGGATTAGAGGAAGTAGGAGAGGAGTGAGGCTGAGAGCTGGTTGGAGTAGGGAAAACAGACTGAGATATTTTGAGGGATATACTGTCTGATAGAGAGCGGTGGCTGGAACTACTGACAGCTCGTTTGCCTAACTGCCATGTTCCACGACTCTGGTGAGCCGGCTGATTCCAAAGCGGAGTCCCGCTACCAGAAGTGGAGCTTGAAGTGCTAACAACAGTAGACATAGAAAACGACAAGTTATTTTCCGCAGTAAATGTAACAACACCTGTGACAGAGCGTGAATCGTCACGTTCGAGCAGGCTTTTAAGCAACTGAGATGCTGGATTATTCGCTAATACTGACTGGTTTGGGTTAGCAAGCGCTAAGGAAGTAGCACACAAATTGCGTCGAATTGGAATTGATGAACCATCATCAGTTAGGTTTGATATACCGATGTCCATGATATAAGTTCTGCTAGTGGTTACTTCGCAAGGTAAAACAGTATTAGCCCCAAGTGAACCAGGTCTACACATGCCAAAACTGCCACTGGGTACTGAAAATCTACCTAGTGGTGCGGTGTTCACACTGAATGGAGACATGCCGAATCCTGGTACAGTCGGAAGCATGACTGGTCTATCTGATTTCGGTAAAATTTTCCTAAAAGAGTGGTACTTGTGAACAACTGTTCTTTTAGGTGGCCCTGAGCATACAGAAGCATTTGTAGAGGATTGGACAGTGGTCATAATAGGGATTCCACCCGAACCAGAAAAAATAGGAGATATGCAAGAGGAAATGAAGGGTTTGCCTGATAGTAAATAGTGATCACCAACACTTTCATTCATTGACGATCGCGATGCAGAAAGGCTTTGACCAACAATACGACTACCTGAAACGGAAAACGATGTGATACAATGAGATCAGATCAGACAACATTGAGTCTCGCAGATGTGCGTCAGTTCACGTTACTATGCCATATGAGCACAATATGAAATCGACAAAATGTATAGCAAAGAATCAAAGTAACGTAGTATCAATAACAATGAGAAAGACTTAGTATTGAGAATATGCTTCAGAAATACGCAGTGGGAACGTATGTACGAAGAAATGCCAGAATCCGAGGAAGATAAAGAGTGAATGTATCTGTGCCATTGTAAATGATTCTGACCCATATCATTCGAAGTCTGAAGCCATTGATCGCGATTATATCGTGAATCCCGACTAGGTAGTCTGCTGCTAGCAGTATAACTCACATCAACAATCATGAACTGATGCCATATTTCAGTTTAGCATCCTCTACCATTTTACCAGCTTATTTATACACCACCAAAACATTCTCCCGTTGAGGTAGGTGGAGACTGAGAACATGTAAAGAGACAATGAGATATTCAAAAGTAACACAAAAATCATCAACTAAAGGATATAACAGACAACTACCTTTTCTGTTTATGAGGTTCATAAATAATGTATCACTTCACGTGATGTCTTGTAAATCAATTTGTGACCTGAAAAAATATCGCCACATTTGTGTCAACATCTATACCGTATGATACATGAATAGCAAACATAATATCTTGTGTTAGTCTAGCATACACTTCAACAGAGTTTAAAAACACTTACAGCTTCCTATAAAAACTACGAAAGAGAAAAACTTGTGGGACCGAGTAGTTTATGTCGACAAGTTTATTATTCCGGTCAGTCAGCTACAACGTAGGGCCAGGCACATATATGCATCGGTTCAAATTGCCACACCTC